ATTTCTATCCTATTTTGTTAATAAACTCTGCCTGACTATTTCTCATAGACTTTTTTTTCATAGTCTTTTATAACTAATTACTTATCCTTATTTATCCATAATTATTCTCTACTTAATTTTGTATCAGACTTAAAAAATTTATTTCTCTTCCTCACATCTTTATCCTTTTTATCTTATTTCTCTTTTCTTATATCCTTAACCAGATCTTATATTTATGATCGTCTTAAATTCATGCAGAAAAAAAATAATTTGCTCGCATAGCAAATTTTATGCAGCCTGTACATATATATAACTTTAACGACTTTAAAGTAATTTCAAGTAACTCGCGTGTGTAAATTATTGTTGCACGAGAAGCAAGTCTGTCACGCGTTGTATCGATGCAAGGAGCACTCTCGCACCGCTCCGAGGTCGATTCTCGCGACAAAATGCGCGTTCCGTTTCCACGCGATGGAACTCAGGCGTGAAAAGGTTGCTGTTTGTCGGCAAGCGGTAGCGAGAGCCGCCCTCCCGAAGCGTGAAATATTAAGATTCGAGTGCAACAATCTTCCGGGGCGAGCATGTCGCGTCGTCGGCAATTAACCGGTAATCTGATATCGATACTAGTATACTCACACGTCGTCGTAGCAGGTCGCGCCGAGCCGCACGACGCGCTGGCGGCATGCACCTCGTGTCGCTACTTAAAAGCGCAGCGTGATGCGCACCCCCGTAGCGCTCAATTGCGAACGCTCCTCGCTTTTTCTGATCCCCGCCGGAAAGTCCTCTCTCCCTCTTTCTCTCTCGTACAATAAGAAATTTTGTGTTACAAACAGTCCAATTTTTTAGTTACTTTAACCCTCCGTTAGTCGCGAGCGTATCCAATAGATACGTTCAGTATATTGCCGTTGCTATATGGCCTCAAAGTCGAACTCATCCTTGTCAATGTTTTTTCCTTTGTTCTCTTTGTTTCTTTCGTGTGTATTTTAGCGCCTGGTCTATTAGCTAAGCGCTAATGAAAGAAAAAATGTTTCAAGAAGCAGAGGGAAATAATGGGAAAATTAACGTATCTGTGAGATGCATTGCGACTATTCACGAGTGATAAAGATCGCGATTAACGGAGGGTTAAAAAGATGAAATATGTTAATTTAACATATATATATATATATATATTTTTTTTTTAAATATATTCCCCGTGTTAAAGTAATGCCAAAATTTCGGTGGATCGTTTTAGCACAAAATTTTTTTGCTCTGCAGATACACCATGTCCACAGCCGTTCCTGTGCAAGGAAAACAATTTTGTAGTACTTATATTTACCACCTAAGTGTGATTAGAAAATGTACCGTTATTTCAAGAATTCTTTTGCGATTCTACGTGACATCTCGAATAGACATCTCAGTTTGCCATATATTTTACAGGTTTTAATATTACGAAACTTTTGTTTTTCATTCAAATGATAATTAACACTCTTAGCAAGTCGTTTCGCTGTCCGCATAGCAACTGGCAGATTTTGCTGCGACAGCATAAAATTTGCTGCGCTAGCAGATTATTTTTCTCCGTACGAACTAAGACGACTTTAAATATAAGATCTGACTAAGGATACAGGAGAAGAGAAATATGACAGGAAGGATAGAAATGTAAAGGACAGGAGTAAATTGTTTAGATCTAGTGCAAAACTAAGTAGAGAACAGTCGAGAATAAATAAGGATAAGTAATTAATTACAAAAAGCCATATGAAATAGGATAGAAATAATGAGGAAAGTATTATATGTGAGGTGATATTTATGTGTTAAATTTTAATTTGGTCAAGTAAATATATAAGGTGTGTAACGTGTGGATGAATGAACGTGATGATTAAGGAAAAATTGTAAATCAAGTTCCTTCCTGGCTGAACGTAAGCTGAGGTAATAAATTACATATATAAGATCTAACTATACCGGCCACAGACGTCTTTTGCGTGCCTGTTCCGCCCGGGAAGCTCGGACGCGCCAGTGCGCAGCGACATTAACCGGCAATTACGGAGGTAACGCGAGCAACACTGAAAGGTAGCAAGGAAAGAGATACGTGGTCGCGCATATCCCGCTATCCGTCCGCTCGAGCGAGGATAAAGATTCCAGATTCTGGCCGGGTTCTAGATTCCGCGGTGACGCGCCGCGCATAGACATTCGCGCCTTTCCACGAGGCCGCGCTGCGCCGACCCTCCGCAGCTCGCCTCGGACGGAGGGTCCGGGCGCGTCCAAGTATCGCGATCCGTCGCACGAACGCGTACGCGATTCCGAAAAGCGAAAGAGGAAGGGAGAAGGAGAGATCTCCTCACGACCGCCGCCCGCGGCACGATGGCGCCCATAGGGCGCCGCGCACTTCGAACAACGCCAGGACCGTACTCGCCATCCACGTAATCTCGTGCGAGTGATAAGCTCTTTCAGTGACGAGGGAAACGAGAGGGCTTCCCTCTCATTACACTCCGATTAAGCCGATCGACGATTAATTCAATCGGCAGAGTTGTCAAAAGAGAAAATAAATTTGTATTGGAGCGAGTGAGAAGACTCTCTCTCTCTCGCGAGTGAGAAGACTCTCTCTCTCTCTCCCTATTTTATTCATCTTTATCTATCTCATTATCTATCTATCCATCTATTTATTTATAATCTATATCGATTGCTATCTCACAGTCATGTATCGTTTGTTCTATTTTACTTACGTGTACAGAATTGTAGAACGACAAATTATAACTAACAATTGTGGACAATTTTGTCGATTACCCATATAGCACACATGTTCAAGAGACACCCCAGAGATGTTTGATATCCCTGGGACATCTCTAGGATGTCTTTTGAACATTTGTGCTGTATAAGTTGGTGATTAATTTAATCGGAATTTGATAAGTGACTTTTTCAAACTCTGATTAAACTAATCGACGAATAATAATAAGAAATGCTAGCATTAATTTCCAGTTCTGTCATTTAATAATTGGAAAATTAAGAAATTCTATCTGCGTTAGCAAAATAGAGCAAAATAGTAATATCTGACTAACAACAATTTTAAATCATCAATTAGATTAATCAGAGTTTGGTGAAAATCATCCAAAGTCTTCCTAAAAAATACTCCCAAGAAACGTCAAAACATGAACCGAAAAAGACATTAATCTTCTCTAGTCTAAGGTGTGATTATAAGCTGGATAAGTTTCACAAGATCCTACTTGGAATGCCTACGGATAAGCTTAAAAACGAGTAAATGGAATAGGAAATTTAGGAGATATTAGGAGGGTTACATTAGAGCTATCCTAACGAATGTTTTTTTATTGCTCACATTCAGGTAGCAAATATTTTCAAAAAAGGGTAAAAAATGAGTCAAATGCACGTGAATAACCGTTTTTTTTTAATATTAAAAAAAAATTGTTTCGGAGAAGAACATTATTGTATTTAATTTATTATATTACACATTAATTCTGAGCTATACCAATTTAATCTTGTATTCTCAAAAAATGATATCAAGAGGTTAACACCTAGTGAAAATGAAGGTCCTAAAACAAAAAAATTTGGATTTCCTAAAGATGTTCTAAATTAAAAAAATTAAGATCTCTTAAAGACGTCCTTCACAAAATAAGATATCATAAAGACATTTTTTTAGACAATAAGATGTCTTACGACGCAATCTTGATCATCTGATTCGATAATGGTCTGACTTGTTCAGATAATCTGAGACATGGAGTCATCTAGCGGAGAAAATAGTAAAGACATTTTCTGGTGAGACGTTTTTTACAAGAAAATTCACGATTTCAGACCTTAAACTAAAATAACTTAATTTTTAGATAACGTAGAGTAAAAGTAAAAACAATTTTATCAAGTAATGTAAACCCAAAAGAATCGATCAAACATATTCAGAATTTCATCAGATTAACCGTTATAGTCGAATGAGAAATTTTGTCTGCGATGACTTCATGTCGTCGCGTAAATATATACGGTCACGTCTGCACTTGGCTCGATACACGATCGTGTATCTTAATCTTTCAAACGTGAGAACTAACACGATGCTGAATTTTACACGGTAAATAAATGCGCGTGTCAACATTTCTCCTGTTTCAATTCAGAAGTAGAATGCCCGCAGTGCGTCGTCGTACAATCGCTGAATCTTATCTTGCGTTCCGATAAAAGCGAAAATGCCAAAATATTAAAAGCATACAATAGCTACTTCATAGCTGAGCCTAAAAAAATGCTGTAACTATTTAAACTAAGCTATTAACTAAACGACCTATTAAATCTGCCTTTTTTAATTAGTAATCTGAATAGTAATTAGTAATCTGAAACTTCGTTCCTTTTCTTTTCCATGCTAGGTTATATAATCGTTTTACTCGTTTTACTCTAGAGGCGTTTTACTCCTAGAGAGGTTATATACTCGTTTTACTCTAAAGAGCCATCTAGTTCAGTTAAAGAGAGCAACCTCAGGCCTTCAAATTGACTAATCTAATCGACGATTTTAAATTGCTGTCAGTCAAATATGCTCTATCCTACTAAAGCAGATAGAAATTATTAACTTTTCATTTACCGTTAAACAAGCTACAAAACTGAAAGTTAGCGTTGGCAATTCTTATTATTATTCATCGATTATTTTAATAGGAGTTCGGTGAAAATCTCCCTTAAGACACCTGTATCGTTCCTCATCGCCTCTTTCAGTTATTGGTTACAGAAGTGACCGTTGAAAATTAAAACAAGCCCGAGAAAATCGTCTTCGGTTTACCAGCAGAGGTTACGTGTACCTTCATTCGCGCGTCGAGCCGGAGATCGAACCGACGGCGGTCGAAGCCCCCTCGCTCGCGTACTGCCGCGTTGCCTCTCCCAATTCTCGTATCGCGCCGCAAAATCGTACGGAGGCTCGACAAAGGTGTGTTCCTTAGCACGCTCCTGCGTCATAACTCCGCCGTCATCACGCTCACTCCCGCGCGGCCGATCTTCCCTCTCCGTCGCGCGGCCGAAGATGCACGAAGTGTCGCCCCACCAGCGCGGCGCGCCCCCACCGAGCCACGGCGGAAACGGCCGAACGGCTACAGCTTGCGCCTAGCGGCGCGGTGCGAATCACCTACGTCACAGTGAAGTATGTGCTCTCGAGTGTAGAAAATGGCTGCGCTCTCCGGTGCTGCGGATCGGCGCGGATGTAAATATGGCCTGTGGCTCAGCCTGCTAGTGTTTGTCGTGCATTTCGCCGGTGGTGAGTACCGTAGTCGTGCGCGATTTGCCTACGGACGACGTCGCTTTCATCGTTTCGGGTGCGAGCGAGTGCGGAACGGGCGCGCGCGTCTCCTCTCGCGCCGGGCCGCGCGCGTTGGAATCGATTGGAGATGCGGAACGCGCGAGACCGACTCGGCTTCCTCGCCGTCCGTTCCCGTGCTCGCCTTCTGCCATGCAGATGTGTTGACCCGCCGACGATCTCGTTCCGCGTTTCTCCGTCTTTCTCGCTCGTCCGTCCGCCCTCTTTCTCCCTCGGCCTCCTCCTCGCGTTCCTTCGCTCGGTTAGTTCGCACGCTCGTTTCTCTCTCTCTCTCTCTCTCTCTCTTCCTGACCGCTTCGGCGAACACGGGCGAACGACGGACCGATTCTCCGCCTCGCCGTGGAAGATCGTTGCCCGGCGCGCCCTCGATCGCACCGTCGCCGCTTTTTGCCGCGATCCCCGAGGGTCACCCTTCTTCGTGCGGGCGAATCGACGGCTTTATCGCTGCGTGTGACACTTCCCCGGTCGGCCCGAGCGCGTACGCCTCTATCTCGAGCGCGGTTTCATGTTTTTTCCGATTCCGTCCGATAAACGCGGCGACACCGCTTCACCTCCTCCTCCTTCGGCTTCTTACGTTTTCCTCTCTCGCGACGTTCTCCGAACTTCGCGTCTTCCTCATCCCGCGATCGATGCGTTTCCACGAGAGGAATTCTTGCGCGAGATGGCACGCGGCTGTTTTTACCTCGACGTCGCGCGTCTCCGCGAGAAGGAGAGAACGGGACGGAAAGAGAAGAGAGAGACGAGGTTAGCTGTTCTAAGGTTAGAGACTGAAATACCAGCGGTGCCGAGAATCGCACCGTTTCCCTCGTCGACTCGGGAGAACGCCGTTCTCCGGAGCCGTCGCGCGACCTTTTTCACTTTTCTTCCTAATCTTCGTCTCCGTACAGACCTACGCTCGCGCTTTTCTCTCTCTCTCTCTCTCTCTTTCTCCCCTTCGCGCTCCAGCATAACAGACTCGGACGCTTACGCGTGATACTGGACTGATCGTCGCGCGCGATCCGATATCGCCGAGATGACGCCGTCGATGACACCAGACTTTAACCTTCTAAAGAAACGCGTCGTTTACGACACACACAGACACCTTTTTAATACCTTCTTTTCCCGATCTGTGTTGAGCAACGTTCGCACTTGAGTGTTCATTAATGATAACTGCGAGACTAGTCGGATCGCTCATTCTTCAGAGGGAATTTTTCCTTCTAACGCGTTTCTTTCGTGTTTTTGTTTTTCTCTCTCACACTCGTACACATGCGTACGTGACGTTGCGATGTCAATTCGGTCGCTTATCTGTGTGTCTCTCTCTCCGCAAGTAGATAAATCGAAATTTTAATGTCGGCTTAGAACAGTCGATACACGAGTCACACTAACGTTGACTTTCACCATTCCTGCTCCGATCTAGTCAGCGATTTAATATCATTACCAGTCAACAAGTATTGCTTGCTTTGTTTTGCTGAAATAGGAATTCTGGTTTTAAAGGTTCAGAAAAAGATTGGGTTTTTCCGCGAAAAAATTGAAAAAAAAAATATCGTGGATCTTTTCAGTTTCTTTCCTCAGAAAAATTGAAAACAGTCCCTTTTTAATAGAAATGATTTTTCGGTCACTGTCGACGACAAATTACACAGCTGGAAATTGATGCTAACAGTTCTACCCTAAGGTGTAACTTTCATCATTCAAGTTCTGATCGGGCTAATCGTCGATTATTATTGACTCAACCGGCGGAGTTCCCAACGTAGAAGATAAGACACACCGTTACAAGAACAAGTAAAAACATTTTCTCTCATCCTCTCCTTTTGTAACTTACAATTCAAACTTTCAAATTTCCAGTCGAATATTGGCCAAGCCTCGTCTCGTTAACACACGCAAAATCATCAACTTCCGGCTCATTGACGGGCTAGAAATTGCAAATTACTCAGCCACAAACTGCTGTTGACAGTTCTGCCGGTCAATCGTTGATCGGCCTAATCGGAGTTTAATGACAGCCGTCGTAAACGTCCGGCGGTCTCCTCTTCGCAATCGAAACTCGAAATCCGACAACCGCCTTGGGGAACGCTAAATGCGGCGCGCTATCTGTTTTTCGCGTACCATAGAAAATAGAGATTGTTTACGTTGCTCCATGCGGCCTGCACGAAATACATCAAAGGATTATAAACGTCGCGCGGCGTCGTTGCAGCGGAATGCGACACGCGCCGCTCGTCTCTCCCTCGGACGAGCGTGTGTGTACACGCCGGACGTAATTTCGTACTCCGCTCGGCGTCGTCGCGCCCCGGCCGCGGAGAGCTTTTAATCTCCCGCTTCTCCCTTTCTCCGCGTCGTCGCATTTTTTTCCTGCTGCATCGCCGCGTACGCACGACGTTTTTTCCGCGAGCCTCGGCAAGGACATCGCGCCGTCGCGTATCGCGCGAGATGAACGCGCGGAATAAAGGCGGCCTTTCTCGGTGTCCGGCGCGTATCCGGGATATGCGGAGCGTAAAAATACGCCGTTTCGCAACGCAGCACGTCGATCTGTGGGAACTTTCTTCTGAATGACGCCTCTCGGAAGTGTATCGACCGTCATCGGACGTCAAAAGGCCTCGAAATATCTCTTGGAAAAAAAAAATACCTGTCTTAATTCGGTTTAACTGTGAAACTTTCACCGGCAATGAAGCATAGTTAACGCTTGACAATGCTGACTGAGTTCCGGAGAGTGGTTTATAGATAGAAACAGGTACCTCGAATCAAGGGTGCCGAGTTATCATGGTCGATAGCAAGGTTTCGCCTTCAAGATTTTTTCTTCCGACAAGGAAACTACGCAGTGCAGGGTCTTTTCCGTATTTAGAAGTCACCTCCAGAGACTTTTCCAGGCTTTCTGAGGGTCACCTGAATCATCTGATGTATCTGCTGCTTCCTTTTGTGAAGCAGGTCTAACATTTTTTTCAAATCAAACTCGCGTGACAATCAAGGACAGTGTTCCGTTAGGACCTTCTCTTTTAGGATTTAGCGACCCTTGTAACGTGGAATTGACGTAACAGGATTCGGCTCGCTCCCGAAATTTCTCTGTCGAGGCGACGGCGAAAAAATTGCTACTCGAGATCACAAAAGTGAACGTCTCAGCCGAGATTAGCCTTTTGAGCCTCAACCGTCACAATTTTGGTGGTCAGACATTGCACGTGACTCACTATGCGCCCAACCATCGTAATCCTGATGAGTAACTTACAACCATAAGTTTCTGGAACCAACATAGAAGGCCAAATAATATTTTTATCATTTTTCTCGAATATTTTAAAATAATTTTGAAAGGATAATAGTACTCATACAAAGTTCCCGAGCAAAAATGTCTTGGGTCTCAAAGGGTTAGAATGCACAGAAAAAACAACTCCGTCAGTGTAACTGAATGCATAGAGAGAGAGAAAGAGAGAGCAGTGGGGGGAGGATTTGCCGCCTTGTGATTTATCGTTTTTTAATTTTGCAATCTTTTGATCGCGCGAGCGCTGCAAACTGCCGATTCGCACCTAACCGCCGCGCCCTTTCCACCGGAAAGCTGTTCTCTGTAGGAAACCACGTCGGTTGATGATTACGCGCTGGGAGGATAGGATTACGCACGCCGCTGATTGTCCTTCCGCGAAAATTACGATCGCGCGGTACCACGCGGTTACATGTTACGCGCGAATCCGTTTGCGAGCTTGCCGTCGCTTTTCTCGCCGAGATATTATTTGCAGCGACGCTACCGCGGAGTATTAAGTTTCTCGTGCGCGCGCACACACACACACACACACACAGAGTGTACGCAGGGCGAGCGTGCCCGCTCTATCGCGACAAAATAACGCAGCGTCCGAGATGCGTTGCGCCGACGACGCCGACGTCGACGGGCTTCCGCGGAACCGAGTAAGCGGATCAGGGAATTCCATCGCGGCGAAAGATGCGACGGATTGATACAATAAGTAAGACACGATGTTTTCGAAACGGTGATGACGAAAATGGTTTTTTTCTGCAGTGAAAAAAGGGCTACGGTACAAATAATATTTATTCGACTCAAGAAAAATAATTACTCCAGTACTCTTTGGCAAATATTTACCAGAATTGTAGAAATACGATTGATTATATATAATATGGTATTTCCTTCATATAAAAGACAGTTGTATGTGTTAAAATAATTGCGACAGGCATTAAATTCATAATATTCAGGACATCAGAATTTATCTTTAAGAAAATTTCAAGTCACTAAGTTTCTTCAATGGAAAAGAAGCATTACATAATTCTAATAAATGCTCTTTAAAATTTAGAACCAATTTACAGTCAGTTATTTACTTACAAATTAAAGTATTACTGCGTTGAAGTAAAAATGTCCTACAAATGATTAAAATATAGTAAATGAACTTGATTAGAGACTGAAAAATAGGTAAATACGTTTACTTGGTTCCAATACTTTTTTTCTTTGTACACCGAAAAAAGCGGTTAAATCGACAAAATCGATCGGTCACCCTCGTTTAAAAGAAAAAGATTGCGCTCATTGAACAAATTACACGTTGGCGCAACAACACGTTGATATCGTCGAGTCAACTAACAATTCATCGCAGCAACTGTATAATTTATTTAATGGACTAAACGTTGCGCTTGAAAGGATAATTTCGTTCGTCGTTTAAGCAAAATTTCATTAATCCTACTCTGTTTCCCAGTATATCTTTGTTCTAACGAACAACACGATCGTAACGGTGAAAACACGGACGATCAGCGGACGGAGGACGCGCACGATCGGTGCAAGCGCACCTGCTATCGAGTATCGTAAATATTGGTAACTCGAGAAGGAAGAGAGATAACGGAAGGATAACTCCCGTTAAGGCGCGACATACCCGGTATAGCGTGAATCGGCGCCCTCTTGTGCAAATGAGGATTCACGCCCACCTGATGTTTTCGCCGATTGTTTCTCCGCTAACTCGATTTCGAGTGACGCCTTATCGCGCGAGTTTCGTACGCGTTTATTATCTTATCGTGACCACCTCTGCTACCTGAATTCTCTCTCTCTCTCTCTCTCTCCTTGTTAGTCTCTTCATTTTCTCTTTCGCGCATTGCACAGGGTCGTTAACTCGACTCAGTCGGTTATTATCTTCTGGTATCGCACGGCTGATCAGAGCGATCGACGTTGTTCACCGTTGAAAGAAAAGAAACATCATCTGTCGAAAAAAAGGACGTAACCACGCCTCGTTTCTAGAGCGCGCCTGCCTGCGAACTTGGCGATGATTCGTGCTCATAGACGCACGACTGGGCTATCGCTGATACTGCTCTTTGCCACGCTGATAAAGTCCGCGGCTAGCTGGCACGTCGCCGCGCGCGCGATTCATTGAAACCTTCGTGCGATTACGGGCGCCGATTGCGTCGCGAAAGCCGCACGAAAGCAGATATACGCGTGACGCCTCGCGCTCTCCGACTCGTGCTTGAACTCAGCGCACTCGCTCGCTCGCTCACGCACGCATGCTCGTGCGTGTGACATTTTTTTCAACAGTTCACTCCGCTTTTCTCGCCAGTGACGGACGGACGGATAGAAGAACGCCACCGAAAACCGCCCGGTTCGCGCCCGATCGTTCGTTTCTCCGACTCGCTCACTGAAAAAACTATAAATGGCGGATTTTAATTTGCAGGAATTAACATGTGGAATAACGCGACGGTTACCGGTGACCGCGTCTCGTTGAGTCTCACGTTGAAATATAATTAATTGCATATCGTTTGTTCGAATATCGAAAACGAGGTAATGAAACGAAGCGAATAATGTACGCCGATTATCCTTCGACCGAAGGAGAATAATCGAATGTGACTAGTTTGATTCAGTTTTTATTCCATTTTTCCCCTTTTCCGTTATAACTGCAATCTTTTTCCAATGCTCATTTATTTTTTGTCGACCTGAATTTGCATCCAAGTTTTTATTACTGAATTTTGAAGTTTGTGTTGCTTCTAATAATATAAGCCTACCTTTCTTGCAATCCCTGCTTTTATAGACGTAATTAAAATTTAAGATTACATATCGGTTATGAAGAATTCTCCACTTTCGTCTGGGAAACATGGAACAATCAGGGAATTTCAAAATTAATTTTCTATAGCAACTCTGATTTCTTATTAATATTTAATTGCTCGATCGTTATTTAAAAATTGTTTAATCATTATTAATATATTATTTGTCATTTAATATTTTCTGTTATTTTTACTTAGATTGTAATATTTATGGGAGATGCGGATTTTATTCGAGGATTCCGAATTATCGAATATAGTTTGTTACCTCAGGAACGACGAATTCTCTGTGGAAGGTCGAGATCGGTGCCGGTGATGTAAATATCGCGCGGGCGATTTCTTCTGGATCTTCGCGCGGGTCATTAATCGCCAGCCACGTCGACGGCGATAGTATCCGCGAGCGCGATTATAGACGTTGACGGAACGCTGTTGACGTGGAAAAATACTTTTCCGCCGAGCTGTTTGCGCTTCGTTTCGAGATACGCAAGGATAAGCGGAATCTCCCGTCGGTTGCGCGACACTCGCCGGGTTCGTCGTCTTTACGTTCACCTCACACTCACCTGCTTTGAACAGCGCGGGTTGCGCTTTGCTCCTGTGACTCGTTTGTTTCCTCGGTTTGAATGAGATCGTCGCTTAGATTCCATTCAACGCAACGTAGATCTTTCGGTCGAGCCTGAAAGCGAGACAAGAATACGTTTAATAAATTATCTCTATCTAAATTTCACGCTTCACTATCCGGTATCTCCGGAATCGTAGGGAAACATTTCTGTATAAGAGGAGTTGTAAACATAAACAACATACGCAACACGAGCTTATTCGTTGTTATCAGGATTATCTTTCCATGTTGTTGAAACTTCCGTAGTAAAAAAGAAGTAACGAGACTAATATTTCTTTTCCCTCGAATAAACGGATTCAAAGATAGTAAACGGATAGTACATGTTTTCAAAAGCATGTGTAATCACGATTACTTTATTATACGTCTCTATAAACGTGTATTCTAGATACACGTTTAAACGTTTTCTCGTTTAAGCATGTAATATTACATTCTACTTTTGACTAGGTCGACTAGACATACATTTCCACTCGGGCAATTAGATAACGGTAACGAATATAATCGTTACTTTTTACCATTCATTTGTTGTTGCGTTTTATTTCTCAAAATGATTAACGGGGTAACGAGTTACTTTTAACAAGTAACTTCCCACCTCTGTTTATTACTAACACGACTGCCGAGTTTCATCCCGTTTTCCAAACCGCTCGAGATCGTCATTAAAATCAAGATCCAGCTTCCACCACACCACTTTTCACGCAGAAAGAGAGAGAGATCGGAGCGAGCGTGGCATGCACGAGAAATCGATCCGTCATTCGGATATTCGTGGGATATAAATAGAGCGGTCACCGTAAAATAGACGCGGGAGAGTAATTCCGCCACGGAAGATAAGCGGTCTCTCTGCGGCTCGCGCATGTCTCCCGTGCGTCTCGTTTCCTCTTTCTCCTTTTGTCCCTGTCTTAGCCGCCGCGGAAAGAGCGCGCGGGACGGACGCTGTCGTCGCTGGCATACTCGTTAGAAACGTGACACCGTGTTTGCAGCGAATTCGCCGTTATCGGCCACCGTAGCGCAGAGAAATTATACCGTCGCTCTGCAACATTGCACCGTCCGACAAAGTCACACACGGTTTAACTTTGGACCACGTTTGCATCAACGTTGACCTTGCCCGAGGATCCGATAAATAGAAAATTTATCTTGGACGTATTCTCTCTCTCTCCCTTTCTCTCTCGGTTCTTCTTCTCGTTTCGAAAAGACAAGAAAAGCTCGGAAAACTCGAATTAAAAGTCGTATCGATAAATATTCCCCGCTCTCCGCGCGATAAGTCGTTCCTCTACCGGCATCCGGACAATCGCTAATTATAGATCACGCTTAACGCTAATTATAGGTCACGCCCGTTATGTTTGTCACGAATTTTATATGCGACCCAATGATACAAGTGCGAGTTATTTATAGATCCTTCGCAGATCAAACATTTGTGTATTCTGCCGAATGAAATCCAAAGCGCGCGACCGCGACGGTATCTCAAATTCCTGCTTCGCCTCGTGTTGTCCGCGTCGTTTCTCTCTTTTTTTTTTGTTTTTTCCTTCTTCCTTGAACGACCGACGACTAACGTTAACGGGACGATATTTTTCAGACGCGAGATATTCGCACATCGTCTCGGTCGACCGGTCGCGCCTAACGTCGACGTGTCTACACGCATAAATCAGACTCAAGCGTGCGCGAGATTTATAACCGGCGTGTGAGTTATCGGTCGTTCGCGGTTTATATCAGCGCGAGACATTTATGAAAGGTCCCCGATTTCCACCGGGACGCACCTATTGCGACCCACTCCCCCACCCCTTCTCTCTCTCTCTCTGCTCTGTGGGACAGTCGTTCGCCTACACGAGACACATCTCACGACTTGTCAAACAACCTCTCGAATCCGCGCCTAGTTTCCTCTTAGGCGCGCATCAATTACCATTGAGTTATTTACCACACCTCGCGCGACTCGGTAACGTAATTGTCCGATTCAATTCCTCAGCGAAGCGATGCGACGCGTCCTCTTCGCCTCCCCGGCTGCTGTTGCCGTCCTCGCTCTTAAAACTGTTCGTGCGCGAGGGAGGAGAAAGAAAGAATGATTTTAATCTCGGGTCGTGGCAACGCTCGATCCAAAAATAATAACCAAACGACTAAACACACGATTAATATTAGAGTCTTACGTACGTCCTCTCCTTTTTCCCCTACGTGCATGTCTGCCCGACTGACAAGTCTAATAATATCGCGCATCGATATCCTCTTTTGCAGTTCTGGGCATCACTTGTTACTGCGAGGGCCATTGTCCGGAGGAGGAGAAGCAGAATGGGACCTGCGAAGGACGGCCAGGCAGCCAATGCTTCAGCGCGGTGGAGGAAGTTTGGGACGCCGATGCGCAGGATTTCGTGCCCGAGTGGTCCTTCGGCTGCCTGCCGCCGGCCGAACAGGGCTTCATGCAGTGCAAGGGCAATCTGGTGCCCCACCTGCAAGTGAAAAGCATCAAGTGCTGCAATCACAGTTCTCTGTGCAACAAGGATCAATTTCCCGAGTATAGTCCTCGACCTAAACCCACCGTGTCTCCCCATCCGATCACCATCGCGTCGGGAGCGGCACAGGTCATCATTCTGTCGGTAGGCCTGTCGGTCATCTTCATGGTCATTTCGATATCGATAGGGCTCGTCTATCACCGCTGCCGCAAGAAAGAGAGGGACCCGTGTCTGGTGCCGTCACAGGGCACCTTGAAGGACTTCATCGATCAGAGCAGCGGGTCCGGCTCGGGTCTGCCGCTCCTCGTGCAGCAGACCATTGCGAAGCAGTTGGCCATGACGCAGTGCGTGGGGAAAGGACGCTACGGTGAGGTATGGCTCGCCCGATGGCGTGGCGGTGAGAAGGTGGCGGTAAAGGTGTTCTTCACGCTGGAGGAGGCATCTTGGTTCCGCGAGACCGAGATTTATCAAACCGTCCTGATGAGACACGACAATATCCTCGGCTTTATCGCCGCCGACATCAAGGGCACCGGGTCTTGGACGCAGATGCTCTTGATCACGGACTACCATGAAAGAGGCTCGTTGCACGACTATCTGCAAACAACGGTGTTGGATCACCAGGCCCTGCTGGCGATCTGCGTGTCGATCGCGTCCGGCATCGCGCATCTACACACCGAGATCTTCGGCACACAGGGCAAACCCGCGATAGCTCACAGGGACATCAAGAGCAGGAACATTCTGGTGAAGAGAAACGGAGAGTGTGCCATAGCGGACTTCGGGTTGGCTGTTCGCTACATCAGGTTCGTGTAGAGTTCTTCAAGTAAGAGTCAGGATATCGATAGGGGAAACTCATCTTCCTTCTGCCAAATCTTAACTGTATATCTCTGTCTCTTTTTCAATTCTAAATGTACACTAGTTCGTCTAATTTTTACATCATTTATGCGGCGTTCTTTGTATTTCTTCTCTCTCCCATTCGCTTCTCCCTTCGCAGACGGAAGTGTTTCACCAATCATCACGTGGTGATGACGACTCTAAGTCTTGCTTGAGGAACTCTAGATTCACGATGCTTCGTTCCGTACGATTATGAAATATACATTTCGGGGAGAATACGCTCTTCGGTACATACGTTTTCTAAGCGTCTCTAAGCGCAGGTGTGTTTAACGAAATTGTTTCGTCTTCTTTAGCGAGAGCGGAGAGATCGACATTGCCCCCAACACCAGAGTGGGTACGCGGCGTTACATGGCACCGGAAGTGTTGGACGAGACCCTGAATACTACCTGCTTCGACGCGTTCAGAATGGCGGACATGTATTCCGTCGGACTTGTGTTTTGGGAGGCGTGCAGGAGATGCGTGACGGGCGGCAAGAACTCCATGGTGGAGCCTTACGCCTTGCCTTATCACGACGTCGTGCCGAGTGATCCGGACTTCGAGGATATGCGCCTGGTGGTCTGCGTAAAGCGATTACGTCCGGTTATTCCGACAAGATGGGACAATGATTCGGTAAGAGAGAGAAAGATCACCTCGTGTAGCTGATTTTACATCTCAGGATCATCCGTTGACGAGTCGTTCATTTTATTTTATTTCCTTGCAGGTCCTATTCGCGTTAGGAAAGATCATGTCGGAGTGCTGGCATGCGAATCCAGCGGTACGCCTGACCGCACTCCGCGTGAAAAAGACGCTGTCGAAGCTACACGTCGATAACATCAGCATCAAGATCGTGTAGTGCCATTGCGTAAAAAAACTGAATCACTCTCCTTCTAGTTAAACAAGCAACTTCCTACCCTCTGTAAATATATCCCTAGTGTACATAGAACTGTTGACAGACTGCAGCCTGAAGACTGAAGACTATGGTTTATAAGTACAGTAGGATAAATGAATGAAAGTGTGCGTGCGTGCAACGAATGAATAAATGAATCAATGAATAAATGTGTGTCTCATTGTGGAAGATGAACAAGCTCATCTCGCGATGTATATATTGTATATGTACATACTATATATATATATATATAAATTATATAATTTATATATAAATAAATATATATATATATATATATATATATAAGTTATATACATAATTATATATATGCATAAAATTGTTTCGTTATCACACAGAGTGCGCTTAAAGTTATACGAAGTTTTAACAACTTTACAATCGATTCTTTATACATTTAGTCTACGTCATTTTTTCTTTTTTTTTTTTAAGTACCTCGAAACATATTTATTATCATCGATGATTTTCGATACATACACATGTTGCGCATAGTTCCCGTAAGAATTGTTGACCATTGCAAAATACGTGCGACATACTATACAGTGCAACGAAATAGGGATTTTGTATGAATTAATTAGCATTAAATGAATTTGCGGCTTGTCGCGTTAAACGATGAAAAGTTCGCGATACACACGATTAACTCACGAATACAAAGTGCATGTATTTAACGTGCAAGTCCGTATTGCCTATACAGTACGCGATTTATGTTTCTAATTTGTACAAAATACACACATTAACCCTTTTTAGAAACATTTTCGGCCAGCTCGACCGATTCTTGCGTACCAAGATCTTTCTTTTACGCCTTTGTATGGGGAAGATAATTAGAAAGAAAGAAATGTGGAAAGTAACCATGTATAGTGCAATAACAATGTATAATGTATGTAATGTTACTTTAGAAGGTAAATGTGAGTTTGTATATCCCTTGGAACTTACGTTATATCGTACGTTTTACGACATCAGAAAATGATTGGTAATCGGGACGATTGTTTACGGAGATGAAGAGAGTTTAAAAAAAAAAACTGGGCTTTCGCTTATTGATTCGTGATCGTTACATCATGTGTTATTTCCTACGCGTAAACACTGCGAGGATCACTGTTGTTAAATGTCTCGCTTCTCTCGACAGAAAGCTATTGTAAACAAACAAACAAAAACAGGGCTGTAGAAGATAGATAGTTGATTGAAAACAATGAAATTTATATTTTCAACGAGTACGAAATATTATCGTTTCTTTTTTCCAGATATATCCTTTGTGTTTATGTGATATAATATTTTACTTTACGTATCCATAAAAATTATCTTTTTCGCGTTATCATCCTGCGGTTCGAAAAAATTTCAACCGTCATACTTGATTCAGAAAAGCTATATATGTGTTGCAAATTGCTCTAATTATTAACATTAATTTAAAAAAAAATCTTACGTGAGAGACATGATCGATTGGAAGATCGTTGACGAGTCGACCGTGCCCTACTGTTTCTCGCACAAAATTGTATCGATCGCGAGAAACCACTCGGAAAGCACATCAGAGCAACCTTGACTTTCCCCTAGGAACAAAGAAACAGCAATCAATTTTCGTACTTATTGGCAGGCTTATTGATCGATCGTCTTCTCTCGGTCGGAGGGCGATGAAAATCGAAGAAACGAAATATCAGACAGCAACTACGAATTAATATCACGGAACAAACGAAAATGCGCAGCAACACGGTTGCTGCATTGACGCACGAAGTCGGCAGGTGTACGAATCAAGTGGTCGTTTATTCGTTCGTCTCTTTTCCTCCGACTCGGCGAAAACGACTGGGGGGAGCCTCGTTACTCGTGTTTCTCCGAATATCGCATCGGACGTCGCGATTTAACGTCGAGGAAACGAATCGACGAAATCACCGAAACACTCACTAAGCGCGTAGTGGGCCAGCTTAGGTTAGGTCACGCTTAGGTTGGCAATCGTGGGGACTCTGGGATCGGAAGTGTCGGGAGGGACGCGCGCCGTGGTCCGCACACACACTTCTCAGTTCGCCCGTTTCTCTCTGCCATCTTTTATCCGGAGAAGAAGCGTGTGTTTTCGCGTCCTGCTGTGAATCGCGCGATTTTACGGAGACACTGACTCGGTGAGTACCCGACGCCGCTCAGAAACCTCGTGCGCCCGCTCGCGCGCGAATATCCGCAGGAACGCGATCGGAAACTGATCGGCCACCGCGTACACACGGCGGCGGTGCGTCGCCTCGAACGGCCTCACACGCCATTCGGCCCGTCGCCGGTGTCCGGCGATTCACCCTGAACCGAATTCCGTCGAACACCCGACGCGCGACCGGACTAGTCGCCCCGGTGTGTCGTACTTCGTTGCTCCTCGTCTCCGCTTTCTTTGTCGCCGGGGCCGACGAGACGCCCTACGTGTAACCCACGCTGCGTTTGCCGCGTTTCTGTCACGAGAAAGAGAGAGAGAGAGAGAGAGAAAGACAGTCATTTTTGCGCATCTACGTTGTCGCAGCTTAAACCCGTCCAAACATCACATCGGCTTGCGCGTCTCGTTTCCTCACCTTCTTTTTTCGGCGGGTTATCGATCGGAACATATCTCGGGGGAAGGAGGGGAAGTACAGTTACGGATATAATATAGAAATTTATCCAACGCGGCTGAGCGTAAAAACGCATTTTATGCTCATCGTCGGGAACTATGAGCACAGGTGGGAATCGTCTCATTCGCGTATTTTCGTGGCGTCGGGCGTCACGAATTACGGCAGTTGTGTTTGTCTCGCGCCGAGATAAAACTTATCGACGGTAATGACGCGCCTCTCGTCGTCCTACGAATCTCTCTCTCGCTCTCCTTTCTCCGTCCTCGTCGCACGCTCGTTCGATCTCTCTCCGTCCGGCTGCAGTAATTTTCCACGCAGCTTGTGCCGTGGCGGCGCGACTCCGCCGTCGAATCGATGCGAGACGCATATATCGCGCGTATTTCTCGAGTCTACAATTTAATCGGCGATCATGATCGCGCGAGCGTTCGCTCCGCAAATGCTCGCTCTTGTGTACATTCCCCCGGTCGTCGCGATGACGCGCTTGTTTTCGCGCCCCGGGGTTAATAATATACTCTTCATAATACACGACCGCGGCAAGTTTCCAATTATTGCGGATTCTTTCGCGACGCACGCGTGAACTTGGCGACTTGGCCGACCGCCAGCTACATTATTCGCAAATATGCGCCCGTTCGAACGACTGAAAGTTGCACCGATTGGCCGAGTCGAGGAATTCGGTCGAATGTTGGCAATTTCTGTTTAATCTCCGCTCGGTGGTTTGTCTTTTTTAGTTGAACTGGTTGCACTAGTTCAGGAAATATACATACGTACACATTGAAGCGTATGAACCGTACATACGAGATTCTCACGCTTCAGTGTGCGTAAATTTCTTCAACCGGTGCATCTAGTTCAGCCAAAAAGAACAGACCGTAGGTAAATAATTCGCTTCACTCGACCGACTCGAACAATACGCTCGCATCGCTCTGACGTTACGCCTAAAAATATCGCGCGAAAATGCTTAGAGATACTCCGTGTTTACCGAAATCGTCGAACGAATAACCAGCTGCTTTTGCGTATTGCGCCGCAGCAGGCGATCTCTCCGCGTTGACGCCTCTGACGTTGCCGGAGATTAGATTATCGCTTAATCGTGATTATCTGTAGTACTTGTGTATCCTCTTTTCCTTTCAATATCTCGACGATTACTTCCGACAAATCTATCAGCGCTACGCGGGACCGTTCTTGTTCTCGCAGACGTCTCATTGATTTAATCCCAAATGAGAAAGAGGGAAAGAACGCCGTGACGCCATTATCGTTTGGCACATCGAGACCCTCGCGAGAAAAAAACGACACATAATAATAGCAGGGCGCGACGTGCATAGCGCGTATGTATGTATCGTCTCTTCCCGCTCTGTTTAACGCACACTACGAACGAGCGTGACGTTTTCGATTGAATAATTCGGAAAGATGGCGGCGATTGAGAGCGAGAGAGAGAACGAGTGGAGAAGAGCGTATCATGATTCTCCCGCGTTCGTCCATCTGGCGTCTCGACTCGTGCGTTTCCGTCGGCGCTCGGCAGCCGGCGCAGCGCGTCGCGCCGCCAGCGACCGAGACCGGCCGAAACTAGCCGAGTGGGCGCGACGAGCGCGACGCCATTACTAGATTGCGTTCTCTTGTGAAAAGTCGTGCGCAGCGAAGGCCGGCGTCGTTTCCGAGTGTCCGTTTGATCATCGTTGTTCCTGGTGAGTAGAGCGCGATTAATATCCAGCGAGTGCCGCCCGGCTCGGTTACGTCCCGCGGAGTATCGTCCGCGTGTCGAAATTCGCGAGGAACGCCCGGCGTTCGAGCACTGCGAGCAGGTACTTTCACCGCCGTGCCGTGGGAGCGTTTTCTCCGCAGCCATGCGCTCTCCTATGGCGTCCTTTCGCGATGCGCGGGCACGCCGGGAGAGCGGGTATCTTGGAGAATACGTGGCCCTCGCGAGTTTTCGCGCGCGTCGATTCGCCGATTATCGCTCTCTGTCGTGAGCAGAGCAAGATGGAGAAACGAGAGAATACGAGGTGTCAGGATCGCGCTAAACAATCGCGTCCGTTTCTTCTATTTGTTGCTGAAGGGGCGCCATCTCGGGATGCGTCATCGAGCGATGCGAGCGAACGAGAGAGAAACAGGAAGAGGAGAGATCGGACGCGACAGGCGGGGAATAGTCTCAGGGATATCGTACTCGCCGAGCGAAATTTTCGATCGAAATTTACCGCACGCGCGACCTTCATAAATAAATATTAATATGATCATGTCACGTAATGGCGTCGCGACGTAGGAGCGGCATTATTTCCGGCGAGTTCGGACTTCTGGCGCTACGGAAGTCCATGCAGGAAAGTGAATCTTGCATTGTTCACGTGTGAAAAAAAAAACGCGATCGATGTCGTCTCGTGTACGTGTGTATCGTCAGGACCCACGCTCTCGCCGGCCATCACGCCGGCTTCGCGTCTCGCTTCGGCAACGCGACGCAGCCGCCTAGCGCATCCACGGAAATCTATGGCGGAGTCGACGTAGTGGGGATGAATTCGTTAGCAGGGAAATAACTTCACGCGACGCGTCTCAGGAGTGTAATTCTAACACCTTCTCGTGCGACCCTGAAAATTGTTCGCAGTGCGGTTTGATCGTTGCCCGTGTGTGAAAGAACAGTGTTGTTACTCGTGTTATCAATGTATGCGTAATTCTTGCATTTAGTTGATTGTGTGATAATTGGTTTGTTCTTTTTAGCTGCGCTGTTGAACTGTCGCAATAAGTTAAAACGAGACGAATGGTCTATTCTTTTTAGCTGCCGGTGCGATAAGTTAGAGTGCGAAAGGTGTATATTTTGTCCCGTCCTAACTTATTACACCGGTTTAGCAGTGCAGCTAAAAAGAACAGATCGAAAATATACTTGTCTCACTCGGACTTGTTGCACCAGTTCAGGAGTACAGCCAAGAAAAACACCAAATAGGGACCCTATTCTGAACACATATCGAAGTAGCTAGTGTGCTCTTTTAATTCCAAGTTTTTTTGTTTCTCCAGTCGATGTAGTGAAAGTTTCAACACCCCCCCCCTCTCCCCCCCCGACAAATTTTGCTACGTTTTCGGCGTCCGAGATTTTCTTTTTTTAATTATCGAGAAATATGTTTTTCTATTGGATATTACGTTGACCGTACGGTAAATTCCATTAATAGAACTAAAACAATTTATTATTTCCTAGGTGTAATGACATCGAGAATTTTCAAGAGCATTATTTGCGCATCATGATTGTTAATAATTTAATGAATCGGCAACGAATCTCCAAAGTGTCAGTTGTGAATACGTACACACAGTATATATGTAAATGTTAAAAAAATAATGCGTTTAATTGGAAATTTTCAAGGTTACTATGCCTAGGGAATGGCATAATATTAATGGAATTTATTGTACAGTCAATCATAGGACGAGATGTATTACGAAACTAATCGGGGAAAAAAAAATGTTGCAACTGTCCTGTGATTGACCCTACTAGCGTCATGTGTCAAGTTCGAGACAGATGGTGCGTTTTTGCCTGCTGAATGGAAATACGCCAATCAGACATTTCTAGTATATCCCTAGATCTCACCAGATCTGGCACGAAAACAAGCACCGTGCGCTGCAGACTTTAAGTTGAGATTTCATTTGTTGTACGACGAGTGTTATCGGATAAAGAATTTCTGAGATCCTTAACACTATCTCCGATTATCCAAAAAAATTCTTTATCCGACAAACTCATAAGACAAATAAAATATTGGCCTAACGTTGCTTTAGCCTTGAAAATTAGAAGGGCATATTTAGCGTTCGATACGTCCAGAATAGAACTCATTTTTTTTCTTATCTAAACTAGTATTATATCAGAACTTGTTTCCTTCTCCTTTCAACGCTAGGTTGCAGTCGTAGACAGAAAGATCGTCTCAAAAAAGTTGTTCCATTAGGCACGGTGATATTAGAAATTTCGAACTAGGTGTATTTTTTTTAAATATTCGTGTATCATGACTGCTGCTTTGAGCATCCTTGTCACAGAATAATTAGCATTCATGATGCATGAATATTCAGAAATGAATATAGATATTTCAAATTCGAAATTTTCGATATCTCACTGTGCCTAATGGGACAACTTTTCTGTCCACGACTGTACATATTTGTATCATTCTAAAAAGAAAAGTGCAACCTACTTCAGCTAAAAGGAATAAATCTGATATTGCAACGAATGAATTTGAATAAAATTAATTAATATTTAAATGAATATATAAGAAGTAACGATATTGATAGTTGAAGGAGAACTTAAGCTAAGTTATAAAGGAATAGATAGCGGAACGAGACAAATATAGGTGTATGTGAGTCGCTGTACTAAACGTGCATCTTTGTAACACTTAGGTTCTCGTACGAGCCACAAAATGCCGGGTTTTAGCAGCGTTGGCACATTTAAAATCTTCATCGGCAATTTAGCCGACAAGACCTCGAACGCCGACATCAAGCCGTTGTTCGAGAAATATGGAAAAGTCGTCGAGTGCGACGTGGTAAAAAATTATGGCTTTGTGGTAAGTAGCCTTTGTTGTGCATATCCTCGTAGAGACGAGATCTTCGGATCGAGCGCGACCTGACAGATGACGTTAACGCAAATCGCACTTTGTTGTTGCCCGGCACAGCATATGGAGAACGAGGAGGCAGGGAGGAATGCGATTCAGAATCTGAACGGGCATATGGTCCATGGGCAACCGATCAAGTGCGAGGCTGCAAAAAGTCGTAAGGGGCCGAACACCCCCACGACGAAGATCTTTGTCGGCAATCTCACGGACAACACGAAGGCGCCTCAAGTGCGCGAGCTCTTCGCCAAGTACGGCACAGTCGTCGAATGCGACATCGTACGGAACTACGGCTTCGTCCATCTGGAGGCGACCGGCGATGTCAATGACGCCATTAAGGAGCTGAACGGGCAGATCGTCGATGGACAACCGATGAAGGTGCAGATATCCACCAGCCGTGTACGACAGAGGCCAGGAATGGGCGATCCCGAACAATGCTATCGTTGCGGCAGAGGCGGCCACTGGTCGAAAGAGTGTCCCAAGGGTGGAATGGGCGGTGGACCGGACAGGAATGGATACAGAGACCGAATGTTTGGTCGCGACCCCTACCCGCCCCCACCGCCACCGCCATTCCTGAGGGACCGCCTCATGGGTGGTGGCCGCTTTGGGGTGAGTTTTCTTACCGTCTCTAATCTCCATAAAGTGCATCGTCATCAATAGTGATGCGATCCTGGATCAGCTGGGTTCGTCGTTCGCCTTGGCAAACGACCGATCGCACAGCTGGTCGGTCTCCGGGACACCCTTCCGTCTATTAATTCCCGACGGGGATTTTGCTCATCTCTACAGGACTATGAAAGCTACTACGACAGGAGAGGCTTCGAGGACACCAGGGATCTCTACGAGAGGCGGTTTACGGGTATGACAGGGCCCTGTGACATGGGAACTTCCATGTGCGGGCTAGACTTTCCACCAATGTCAATGCCACCTCTACCACCCAGACGAGACCCAATGCCTGCTATGCCTCCTCTAGGTATGGGATCCATGCGAGACACTGGCTTCTCCCGCGGAAACGAGTATGGCATGTTCAGCCGCCGATCACCCCCTCCGAGTGGCAACAACGGCCGGTTCAGGTGAGTAGGTACCCGGCGTAGCCGACTGCCCATTCGTCCGACTTAACATTGTGAACGTTCCAGGCTGGATTAACAGCTCATGCGAATTGGGGTTCGGTGATTCGTCGACATTTTTTTCTAGTCTATCGTACACTTTCTTTCTCTCGCCATGTTGATTCGTCTCCTTCTTACAGTATATTTCTCCTTGGTTTTTTTTCTCGTTTACATGGTTTTACCACAAAATAGCGAGTGTTTAAGTCTACGGTAGGCTGTCTGACGCGATCGCGGGATTCTGATAATTTTCCACGCTACTTTGTTTACAAGTAAACTTCCGGCTCTTTGGCACTTTACGTTCAAAAACTACCGAACTACTATCCAGTGTTTCTACATTTTGTTTTACCTTGTTCTTTGGTTTGTAACCTTTCGCTGTCGGAAGTTTCGTGAAATTTTGCGTGTGGTAAAGACTTGCACACACACTTGTGCTGCAACGGTATCATTGCGGGACACAAAGCATGACTGTTTTTATCGCTTTGTTATTACGCATATTATTACTTGTACTTAAGATTCTGAGAAAAAATAATAGTATTGTTTTTCTTTTTTTCTTTCTTTTTTCTTTCTTTTCTTTTTTTTTTTTTTCCTTTTTGATGCACACGTTCGAGTGTCGACCCGATGCCCACATGAGTGCAAGACTCCGTCGTAGTGAAATGTTAATATATAACGCTTGGACGTTTCTGTACATTCTAAATTTCAGTGCACCTCAGGCTGCGTACCATCTTTGTCCATGAACGCGGGCAACCCTAGAGAGACAGTCCCGGGTCAGCGTTCAAGTCGTACAAGAGTAAGTCTTTGACTCAATTTTGTTAGCGAGTAGTCACGCCTCGTTCTTGTCGCTGCAACCAATGCGCGTCAAAAGTATACACAGCAGCCCGCATATTTGTCTCTCTCTGCGTCCTCGGTGGGCCTCGACTCGGGTCTCGACTGATTGTGCCTTGAACATGTCGACTGCTCTTCTAGGGATGTCCTAGTTCATAGACTCTCTTGTTCCATGGCATTAACTGCGAGATTGGCCTGTATGTCTCTCATAAATCCTTTGTGTTTCAAGCGCTCCCTATTACGTACATCACTCGACCGGGAGTGGCGCGGAGGCCTGGGATGAAGAAACGTTCCTAAGGAATGCGAACTAGAATTTCTTGTGATCGCACTACCGATCCGCGCGAGCCAGGATGCGATCTGCAATTTTAAAACGAACTCTCGTGCGGTGTAGATAGAGAAAAAAACAAAAAGATTACGAAAGAAAAAAAGAAACAGGGCTGGCGCGATTTTCAGGAATGGCGCCTCGAATCGATTGTCTTTGAAACGTGTCGTAAGTAGAAACCAGCTCTCCAGACGAATTGGACAGTAAGTTTGTACATACATCGGCATTTCCTTTTGTAATCTTTACAATCCAGTTTCGTCAACTTTGCGATCACACGCATAATAAACAGCGCATTTCCTTTTCTTTCCGTTACTATTTTTTTTTAATAATAATAATAATAACGTCGATTCGGCTTTTGGCGCGAGGGCTCGATTTTCTTTCTTTTTTTTTTCCTTTTATCAACTTGCAAGTACAAAGATTGACGGCAAAGTAACATACTAGTTCGCACAGTTCCGGTCGTTGGTAACATTAAATATGTCTCGGATAGATAGCACTTTATCACTTTATTTCTTTCTTCTTGAATATTAATATGAAGTTGAACAATTTGTTCTAGTTTTCGTGTATAATATATGTATATTTCACAATTTTATTTAACATATAAAGTCTAATTTACTGGTGTTTTGAATTATACAACGTGTTTTCGTTCGATTTTTTATTCATTGTTGATATAATCATGCCAATAGACGGGAGGAAATTCTTCCGTGTCCGCGTGTAAACGAGATATTCTTCGCGTATAAAGCAAATTCGAGTCGCGCTCCAAGTCCCGCGGTTATCTTGAATCTGTATCCGTGGTGAGAAACGGAACGTCGAAATTTCACACGAGGCGAACAGAGTAAATTGAACGCGTGCGGAGCATTCCAGTTTTGTGTTTCCACGAAATTCACAAATCCATGGTTCTTGAAGCTGACTTCTACTCACGAGGTTCAAAGCTCTTCATGTATGTAAATCCATTCGCAAAACGTTCAAATAGAAACAGAATTGATTGAATTTCTCAGTTTTTCTAAATACTTTGAATTTGTTGTTGCACGTTACCTTATTACCCCCATACAATCCCAGCCTGGGCTGCAAGTGGCTCTTAAACAATACAACGAACACACATACACACACCCATTGACATATACAAACATATTCTCGTTGTTTTTTTGCGAAGCGTTGTGATTTGCAAGTCGCATGGGTGAAAAATCCAGTCTTACCGCTGCCTGCCTCATATGACTAGCTACACACCTTCCGTTCTCCGTCAGCTCCCCTTACTCGTTCTTCCACACCCCTCTTGGCAAGTTAGTATCTCGAATCGTGTCGATCGAGGTATACAGATGGCGAATAATCACTTAGTTACTTGCACTCCACTCCATTCTCTCTCTCTCTCTCTCTACGTAGGCTGTAGTTGAATACCCATGTTGCGTCTCTGTGCTCGCGAGTCTGCAAACGATTTCTAATCGTACATCGAAGAAGGCCTCCCGGCTCCGCTCGTCGAAGTTTCTCCTTTACTCGCGCGCGTGTATGTGTGTTGTATGTGTGGTTCGATATAGTAGAAAGATAGGAAGTTCCGCGGCAATACTTTGACACGTAACGTGTAACAACTTGCGCACAGTATCGATATATAGGTTCTTTCTCTCTCCGTCTCTCGCGATAGTTGCGCGACCACGATACATTCCATCCTGATTCCCAACTCGACCAGTCATATTAGGCGAGGCACGTGACTCTTTCTCTACCTCTTTCTTTCTGTCTCTCTGTATCTTTCTACCCCCACCCCTTCTCTCTCTCTCTCTCTCTCATTTCCTTGCACGTAAATATACAGGGACTAATTCACAAAGTTAAGCCTTGGACAAGGGAGCCAGTATATGGTATATATTGATCTGATACCATTGGTAGATTCGATTATTTATTATACCGCTGTTATAGTAGAGGCATGTACGAGGACTTCAGCCGAGATTCGTTTGAGGAACGTAGGTAAGTAGAGTAAAACTGACACTGGGTCACATAAGATACCACCATGCCCGAATTGAAATCCTTGCTCTTGTGAACCGCGATTTAAATACATTAGTTCTACGTGTACGCGTACATGTACGTGCAGCGTACGGTGTATGTATATACGTGGAACCAATAAAAACCGCTCTCTTCTTTATGTTACGATTATCAAACGCGGTGAAACGTCTAAAACACGGTACATTGTTGTTCGCCCGCTCCAACACATTCTCTCACCGTTATGAAACATCGGCGGTAAGAGAAATTGTAAGCGACATTGGCCAGTCAAGTAGGATAAAACGCGTGTCGTCAGATGCATCGATGCCGCGATTCTCAAGAATAGAAATTTTCCCATTCGCAAATTGTTCGTCGCTGGAACGAACGCGCGCGAGTAAGAGACAAAAGGATGTGTACCTTGAGAGATACGATGTTTCATAAGGAAGAGCGCTCGTAAAGCGAAAAAAGAAAAAAAAACTTGACAAGGAAAAACATCTGAAGTCTGAATTGCGCGATTATCCCACTTACTGCGAATCGAACAAATTAACGACAAGTTAGCGATGAAAACGAGGTATTCTCCGAGCTGCTGTATATCCATCCCTCTGTTCTATCTTTGTTTTGTTATCTTTTTCTGGAAAAAAATCTCACTTGTCTACTCGCAATCTTTTGATCTCTACGAGCTATCTCTCTCTCTCTTTCTCTCTCCCTTCAGTTTTTTCTCCCCTCTCTTACTATTTAAATATTTATATATGTATATATAGATCATCTTTACATATATTTAATCTGTAATTGCCCGTGCTTTGAACGTATACCTATCGATCTCGTATGACTGACGTGGCTTAATTTTGGTTACCAGACCGGGATTACGAGGCCCATCGCCGTCGCGCCGGTTCGCACCATACTAAATCGTCGCGTCGGGCTCGGATCGGTCGGATCTATAGTTCGTCGGTCGGGTCGTCTATCCGTCGGCTAGCAGGAAGCCTCGGAACCGAGATACTCTTGGCCGTCTGTTGATCTGCACGCGCGAAGATCTGCCGCCCGCTCTATGCGAACGAATGCTACCCGTCGCAGTGCGCTCTATTACGGAAATAAAAACGCCCAATAAGAAAAATAATAAAAAGAAAAAAAAAAGAACCGGAGAAATGAACAGTATATCTCAGAAACACACCAAATGAGTCTCAGCCGTCAAGTCACAGTGATATCATGCAGAACTTTTTTTCAGAATTACACGAATTCTCCCCCCCNCTCCCACTCGCCCCGCGACTGTCCGACCTTCTCCTCGAGATTCTCATCGATCCCTTTGCTCTCCCTTACTCACACACCCCCTTCTCTCTTTCTTTCTCTGTCCCTCCCGCCTTCATACACTTGTATAAAATCAGATAGGATTATCCTCGTCGTAAGGACTCGATGATATATACGTGTAGCTACACCGCGGAAACTCCTCGATCCTTGACGGATTAATGTTGCTCCGGTGCGAACGTTGATCTTAGCCGGCCCCTCGGAATCACATGGACTCTCCGAGTCTGGGCTCTCTTTCGCTTTTTTTCCCCCCGCTTGATTTCGTTCGGGATCGACGAGCGTCCCGGTGGAGCGGTATTCTCTTGCGGTGACGCGCCATCACCATCTGATAGACACGTAACACACCTACACACACCTACACACACACACACACACACACACACACATATACACTTTGTCGGGTGGTGCTTTCGGTTTTTCTGTGACGATGACGCACCCCTGCTTCTCGCCGCTGCGTAACGATCGATAGACGACGACGCGCTCCCTCCGTGTCGCGCGTACACGACGCACCTCTCTGCGGGAGTCGCTCTCGAATGAATGATCGACACATATACATACACGCACACACACTCCGATATCGCTATGCGGCGTGTTCATCGCGTAGGGAAGAGCAAAGAAAAAAATAATCCATACGATACCTCCGATCTCGACTCGGTCTCTCTCCGCGCGCGCGTGGACGCGGTCTCGCGCAGCAGAGGAACGCGCGCCGAGTCCTCCCTCGTCGTCGCTTATCATTAGGTCGAGACGACGTATCTCGTCGGGAGAGGTAGCGCGGACATTCTCGCGGCGAAATGGCGGGAACGTCTACAAGTGAGCAATTGCGGAAATGCGATCTCGCTAAGTAGGAATGCGCCTCGCGATTTCGGTGAGGAAGGAAGAGATCGCGCGCGTGTCGTCTCGATCGGGACTCTGTTTCTTTCGAGGGGATGAACGCGACGCGCGACCCTTTCCGAGAGGGGGAGCTTGGCTCTGAGAGAAATGCGGAAATACGCGAGCCCGTCGAGCGAGTGATATTGTATCTTGAATATGACGGGACCGACGAATTATGAGAGATACGCGTTTGTGTCGCCGCGACCTGCAGTATTCCATTGTTACTTTTCACACCGGTTGTTTTTGTATGATCGCTCTCCGGGAGAATGATACAGTCGCGAATTCGAAAATGTATTTGTACACGTATTAAATAATTGCACTCCAATGTACATATATCTAATATATACAACAAATTTAAAATGAGTTACAATAGTATATATCAGATATATGTATATGTGTGTCAACTCCTCTCTCTCTCTCTCTCTCTCTCTCTCTCTCTCTCTCTCTCTCTCTCTCTCTCTCTGTATGTTACTTGTAAAATGTATTTTTTCGATGTGCACTATTATCACACCGCATATTCTTGTACACGTAGATGCGTGTTCTATTAAATGTACGTACTAATACGCTTACAAATACATAATCAGAGTCGTTATTCGCGAATACGATTGGTTTTTATCGTCGGTCTATTGCGAACGTGGAAAAGTGTTTAGAGACCTTGTATGTTAAACATACTCGCGAAGCAATTTAGTGGACCGTAGTTGTATTCGCGCGCCTAATAAAAGTAGCTTTTACCGAAATTCTTCAACCTGCAATGAGGAAGTTCTAATGGGTGGGTAGTAAGCGTGCGGGTTTGATCGTTGAAAAGTATCCGTTTTCACATTACCTCAACGTTTTAACGGGCGAAAAAGGAAGATAATTATAATCGGACTTGGATCCGCAGAATGCGTCGATTGCGTATGGGAAAACTTAAGTGGGCCGTGCGACCATTTATCGTTAGGGTATATAGTAACGTAATCATTTTATTAACGTAGAATTAACTCCGACGTAAGGAAGGAAAAATGAAAAAAAAAAAAAGAAAAAAAAAGTAACACGGATTATCCGACATGACAAGGGACAAGTAATAATCGTCGTTAATTATGCCCGAGTTGTAGCCTGTAATAATCGCACTTTCGTTTTCTCTCGAGCGTAGACACTTGTATAAGCCGTTTTTTTTTCTCTCTTCTCTTACCTTCCCTCTACGTCTCTTCTTTTTTTCGCTGAGAACCGCCGTGTTTTCGGATTAAGGATTATATGAATAATAACCGCAATGATGCTAATGATAATAATAATAATGGATATTAAGAGAAATGTGTAATAACAATGTACTTGTGGAATTCACAAAAAAACGACGTGTGTTGCGTGTTTCTTTAATTACATCACACCGACCGCTCTTTCTCTTCTCGCCGTTACCCTCCGCCAGCAGTTAGCGACAACAACAAAAACCATCATCACCACCACAACCACCATCATCATCATCTCATCATCATCATCATCATCATCGTCATTACCACAACCACTGACCATCGTTTTACCCCAAAAACGACCCTGCCTCTCCCAGCCCGAAATTTTTTATCGGTTACCATTTTGTATCGGACGCGCGCTTCTTTTTCGCTGGCTTCCTGCGCGCGTTTCTCCCTCGCGCTCGCTCAACAAAAAAGCGAAAANCCCCCACTCGTCGGGAAGTCGCTCGTGATCCAAAACGCGTGCGGCGTCGTCGTACTCACTCGTGTTGTCTTTACGGAGCCACTCCAATCGACTTTTGTGCGCCAATTTTTGAAATTCCTTCCTTCCCCCCCCCCCTCCTCGTCTTTAACCGCTAATTCCATGGCAGGGTTCCACGATAGGTTTTCCATCGAGCGCAATTCGGGCTATAATTGCTGCTTCCCTGTATATTTTTGTTACATGCGATACCGTGTGCAATATCTCTCTCTGTGGATCTGTAACATTGATTATGCGAGAGAGAGTATTCGCGCGTTTTCTTTCGTTATTTTCTTTTCTCCCAAGCACCACCGATATTCGCGTTAGTCCATGTGAATTTTCACGTAGAGCGAAAAAACGTGGTTGAAAACACTTCGTCGCGCGTAGATAAGCGAGTCGCCACGCTCGACGACGCGGATAAGCGAGCCGGATACGTATCGGCGGTTGTTACTTAACTTTCCGACGCGTGCGCGCTTGATTAAATGATTCTCGACAGATCAGATGTTACGATTCGGACAGACATTGCACTGTATCGACACGCGTTGGAAATCGGTGTTACGCTACACCGATGACCATACTCACGTTTATGTGTGCATAAGTCTGTCTCGTCGACTGTTCCTCCCTCCCCTCTCTCTCTCTTTCTCTCTCTCTCTTTCTCTCTCTCTCTCTATCTCTCTCTCTCTCTCTATCTCTCTCTCTCTCGGTTCTGTCACGCAATTTCCTGTCGAAGCCTCATCCTATCTTTCATTCCGAAGCACTTTATTCTCGCAAGGTAGGGTCGAGAAAACGGACGAAACGCACATAACGTGACCTTTAACGTAACGTGACTTTTCTCGGGCACGCAAACGTGCGTTCGCAAAGTTGAAGTTCGAGCTGGTCGCACGATGCGTGCCCGACGACCGAAGGTTTTCGGCAATTCTGACACTCGTACAAGTACAGAATGTCCCGGAAGCTCCAAATATCTCGCGCCCAAAATTCCGCAGCAAAATTCGAAGCCGATTTCAGCGCAGTGAACATTTTACGAGAAAGCTTCAGTTGATATTGTTAAATTTTTATATGTGAAATATCTTCTTAATTAAATTGGAATGCAATTTGAGTCTAATTAGAATTAGGACGAATTTTCATATCTACTTAAGTTTCCTAAGCCCGACTCGCCAGAATTTTTAAGTAGTCATTCTCGAATATCCGTCATTAATAATTGACGTTTCGCTGTCGAAATAATCTCCAGTTCCCTCCCATAATCTGCAGCTTATCTGTACGGTCGAAAGGACATCCGGTGACTGCGGAACATCCTGCGTGTCCCGTGATAGCGTGACACTTTCGTGTACTTAATGTGTCAGTTTTGCATAAATGAAGGAATTTTCGAACTCGACATAGTCGTTTCCTTCGAATCTCGTCTGTGTCGGTTACTCGATATTAGTCTGAGAGTAAAAGAAAAAAACTCGTAATCTCCGAATATTTGACCAAATTCTTCGAAAAGACTCTTCCTCGCTCAATCTGTGCCACATACGCTTAATCTTTCTCCCTCTCTCAGGTGTTTTCTCATCGCGAGCCATCATCCCAATTGTATTGATCGTATCGGACGATGATGCTCTTCTGAACTAAGACATTATTCTCAATTATATAAAACAAACGAACAATAAAGTCCAATTGTAGATGTAGTTTGCATATATTGACATTAAATTCCACAAACGGGTAACCCGTTATTTAATCTTTGAGAATTAATTAGATACGTTTCGATCGTTTATCGCGGTCGTCCTCGGTCGAAATTACAAATAATCAGTAGTCATAATAAAACAAAGTAGAGAGATCATACTTTATAAAACGAGCATTATTGTCGGACGCGCTGCCTGTTTGCAGAATTTGATGTAAATATATGCAAATTACGCCTGCAATTGGGCCTTTACTCCCGTTTGTTTCATATAATCTTCATTTTAATCAAGAAGCTTTGTAGTCCTTTAATTGAGATTACTCTCGATATCTTCCGCCTTTAAGATGGTAAACTCAAACTTGTCTATCTCGATGAATCTACTTCTCTTTTTTTTTTCCTTTTCTGTCTAATCGCTTGTTTCAATTTTAATAGTTAAGAGAACAGGGGTCCTAACTTGTCATACTTTCGCAGAGGTCAACTTGCGATGCCGCGAATACGTTAAAATGATGGTAACACAGCGACTGTGTGACGATAAAGTGAAGTCATCTTACCGTATCCGCGAGCATCTGGAATTGAACTGGCTGAAGTTATAGTCGTTTCGATCTCTGAATGAGAATCCTCTATCTCTGCCTGTAAAGAATTAAGGGCCCGTCGTTAGCGCGATCCATCGAGCACTATGTGATATCGTTCGTTGTATGACTGATGTTTTCAGAACAATTGGCACTGCGGATGAGGTGGTTGCGCACGAGCTAGCATATAGCGCAAATAAGTCGCTTCATCACGCATACACGGACGTGGAATACTAATTCTCTATCTATATGCATAAAAATATATATATACACACACATATACACGTATCGAAACGAGAGAACAGGAAAAGAAATGACGGATTACGCCTGCTACACACGCTCTTTTACTCGCCTTATTAGTAGTAATACACGAGATGAGAGATCCTGTTTTGTACGTCTGACTCACCATTTACGTGTGTGTTTTTTGCAAGTTCTTATTTTTTAATAAACCTCAAGACACGTGCGAACGACATTCTTCTCCTTGAATTGTGACTGAAAATTCACCCACCCTTCTGGCTGGCTCTCTTGAACTAGACCGAGTTTGTTTGCCGATGATTGATTCGCGTTTCCGTAGACATCGCAGCGCGACACTGAGAAGAAACGGAGGTTTCGGCGAGAGATTGTCAATTTCACTGGATTTCAATCGGTATCCGTGGTGCAATTTTCTCCGGATAATCGCGCTCCAGCCTCTCTCCATTCTTCTCAGTCGAGCTCGCATTTCTACTCTGTAAGACGGGGACAGGGAGTGAAATTCGCCGCCGTCCCGTCGCCGTATTTACATGTCTCCGCATATGGTAACGTGTTGCTGTTATCACGCAAACGTAACTTAGCCTTAAACTTTGACGATCAAAGCCGAAGTATATCGCCGCTTCCGGGAGTACATAACCGGCCGGATGATGCGAGAAGCGACGTGTAAATAGATCACGGTCAATGTTATTCTCTGTATCTTCACACACCTGATCTCTCTGTCAGTATGTAACATGGTAATGCTTATTGTTATGTGCCAGTCAAACTTGCAGATTCGGAGGTTGAAGGGTCTACAGAATCGGATTCGGACCCGGACTCTCCGCTTTTCCACCCGACCAACGGCAAACAGGGCGGCCCACGGCCCACCTATACCACTGTAGCCTAATGCGCAGTGCGGTCGCAGTGTGCGAAAGAGCCCTCCCCCTCAATGTTACTTTAACAGAGAGAGACCAGAGTGTCGTCAGACGATTTCACCCGCAAGCCAATTTGCCGGTGAACCTCGGAACACGAGCGTGTTGAGAGAGAACCAGGCGCACACTCGACCATCTCTCCATACCGTGATATGGTGAGCACACTGACTCCTCCTGTCCGATAAAATAAGTAGTAACTTTACTCCGGGAATCCGGGAACAAAAAAAAACGAAGATTGAATCCGCCGATTGTATTCGGTATGATAATAAGTTAACAAAAGTCGGCGCGGGAGTAAGGTCGGTCGGACCGTTTCCTCTAATCGGCTCTTGTCGCCGGATTTGCGAGTTTGATCGGTGCACCAGATGCGAGAGAGCGTCGGATTAACTTGACCACTCCTTTCTTATCACGCAAACGGTACCGTTCGGCCGAGATCGGGTGACCCCGGAGCATGATCGTCGACGGGAACGTGTGTTCACACCGCGGATGTGTCTCAGAGCCAACGTCCTGGGACCAAAAAAGTGGAAAAGAAAAATATACATCTTCCTCGGGTGTGGCTAAGTTCGCGTGAACTTTGCCGTTGGTTCTGGGACGGGTCTTGCATCCCCACGCTGAAACATAATCCCTCCCCCCCTCTTTCTCTCTCTTTCTTCCTTCCTTTCTTTTTGTTTTCTTTGTTTTTCTTCGAGAGCGTCCTGTTTCTTCTCCTGTCCATCACCCGAGCGTATACGTCTCTTTCGAACACACCCCGATCACCCCGCGTGGGGAAACGTGCGATTACAGAGTTGCGTGCACGCGTTTATAGTACACGCGTGCGAAACTGTCATATATATATATATATATATATATAAACATACACACACCCGTCGTGTGGAAAATAAAAGCTCGGTGCATGAAGTGCACTTGCACACGGAGAACCCCGTATCGGCTAACGCAAGTACTATCTTTCTCTCTTTCTATCTCTATCTTTCTCTCTCTTGAGGATTTTACGGTATAATATCGGTACCGGACTAATCGTCGGGACGATAACGACGGAATAGGTCTGGCCCAAGTCGCAGCCTTTCTCCCTCCCCCTATCTCA